TAAAATATATTAAGATCCATTATGCAAAAAAAAAAGAAACTTAATAACATTATTTAAGATTTTTTTTAATCACATTTGTTTGTATCTTAACAAATATTATGAAGTATGAAAATATATTTCTGTAATATCCTTTCAATGTGTAAGTAAAATCGTAATATATACATAGATATATAGTCATAAATCTTGAAACGGAAAACATTAAGACTTTCGAGTTTTATTAATAATAATGTTAACATTGGATTTTATTGCTCCAATATCAATTTTCTCAGATCTTTGAATCTCTATATTTCTTTGAATATAAATATTCTTTTATAATCCTACGCTATGTAAATATTTTACTTGAAAAAAAAAGAGAGAAAGCTTCGCACAAAGCAGTGACGATTTGTTTTTCGAACAAATATATAAAAGAAAATGCAGATGACGAAATATTCTTAGCAGAAGGTAAATTAATTTCAATACTAAAAGAAACTCTTCAAAGTACTTAAATTATTAGACTTGTAATACTTTTCCGCTGTTAGTTACGATCCTTTGCTGTTTAAAAAAAAAATTTTATTTTTTTTTTGGTTCTTTTTTTAATAATAATTTCAAATTTTTTTTTTCTTACGATTGGCAATAAATTTTGTGATATTAAATTTTTTTTATAAGTAACGTATTGTCGTTGGAAGAGATTTTGAGTTCTTTTTTTATCTTTCTGTCTCTAGATAGAGTCAGTGCTTACATTTCAAACACTGATGAAATTCAAATAGGTCTTAAACAAATTCTCGCAGTAAGAGAGAAGGATAAAATTCAAGATCCTTTGGAATATTTCCATTTGTATGTTTTTCCATGAACTATTATATTATTTATGTTGTATGAAATGTGACAAATTTGCAATTGAGGTAATTTTTAAATTACTGTACATAGTCGCTGCATTAAGTTTTCTTTTCTTTTCGTTGTTCAATTAGAATGCAGTAATTATTTCTTTTTTTTTATTATTCCACTAGTAATGTAAACAATTGCAATTAATGTCTAAACAAAACTAGATTTTACTAATAAAACAAAAAATTAAAAACCAGCATTGCTACTGAATTTTGAAAAAGTTTTATTAAAAAATACGACTAATATTTATATTTAAATTTAAATAACTATAAAAATTGATTAAAAAATGAGTTCTAAATCTAACCAAAAGGAATTTTGTAAGTTTTCGAGTAAAATATCCTAAAAGAAAATAATTTTACATTACTTTTTTAAATTTACATTATCTCTACAATAAAAAAAGAAATTTAGGTATTTTAAAAATAAATTTTACGCTAAAAATTATTCATTTGCAGTTTGCAATATATTTTTAAATTTAAACTAAATTCAGTAAGTCACATGACTGAATCTGACATTTGCTACTGTTGATAAAAAAAGAATTTATTAAAATGCAGTAATACCACTAATTTAATCAAATGTAATTGACGTTTGACAAAAATTGGTTTTTACTACTTCAGGGTTGCTACAAAGATTTAATTTTGTATTTTCCTGACTTTTCCCTAATTTCCAGACAAAATTTTATCTTCTTCCCTGACCCTAAAGAATATTCTGCTTCACTCTAAACAAGTTGTTAATCCAGATGTTCATTACATGAACATTTTGCTTTCTCTTTACGATCATCAAGAAAAAATTTTTACAGAATTTGTAAAAAAATATCACTTATTATTGGTTATTCTTCAACTTTTTGTGATTAATAATAAAAAAAACACAAATTATTAATAAATGTAAACAATAATTTGTTAAAAAATAATAAAACTGTAAGTAGAATCCGTCTTTATTTTTTTCTGCATGATCCCAAAAAAATTTAAGAAATTCAGATTTCTAATTGTTATATTTCTATTTTTTAAGATAATTTTAAATTTTAAATTGCCTTGAGTAGTACATAACATACGCTTTGCTATAAACCAAAAATTAAGGGAGAAATTATTTTATTTATTTAATATTTTTATGTTTACTTCTGACATGTATTATTGGGTAAGATGGCCATAAGGGACTTTTATTTTAATTTTTTCATGTTAATTTTAGATATTCAAGAAACATTACAGAAAAACAACTTAAAATACCTCTGATAACAAAGTAATTGATCTAATTGACACCAGAGATGAAAATCTATTCGTAGGTTGTCCCGAAAGTTAAAACCAAACGATATTGATTGAAGATAGAATTCGACACTTTTGGCTACATGAAAACTGCACTTAATTGCATTAAAAATGTTCAAAATTCGACCAGATAAAGAGGAAAGTAATGTGAACCATTAAAAATTAAGTTTAAGCTAAAAGCCAAAAATTATAAGTATTGGCCATCTCACCCGGGCATTTCGAGAGAGATGGCCAAATGCACTTTTTGAAAAATGTAAATTTTAAGATTGTTTCTACGATAATATTTTATTTTATTTTTCGTAATTTTAAAGTTAAGTGTTCAGTGTTTAATAAACAATAACAGTTAAGACAAAAAACGATTTTTTATAATTTTTATAATCCTTTAAAAAAACTATGGTCATCTCCCCCGGACTTACCCTATTACATTTATTTATAAATTTCTAGAATTGTAAAATTATTTCGAAAATTTTAAAATTCAATAAATTTTAAGAATATTATTATAAAACATGAAGATATTTCTTCATATTTTATAATAATTAAACATGATCGAGTGATAAAATCATTATTTTATATTATAAAAGAATATATAATTACTGTAACTTCTTCAAAATTATTTTTATCAATTCAATCCAATTATTATTTTTTTAGAATTTTTAATGTGTCTTTAAATCAATTACTTTTAATAATTTTTTTGAAAAAGTTTTTTAATACTTTTCAAATCCATTTGTTTACAATTCAATTTTACACGAAATTTCGTTTATTCGAAAATTCTCCAATTAATTATATATTAGAAAATAAAAGCATGAAATAAGTTAAAAATCAGTTAAATTTTTTGAAAAAAATTAATTCTGCAGAATTGTTAGTTAAAAGTGAAAAATTCAAATTTTCAAGGATTTTAATTTAAAACCTTTTCCAAATTAAGTTATTTCTAAAATTTTACGCTGTAATTCATTTTAATGTTCAATTATTATCTAAAATTTTAACTGAAATATATTTTTTAAATTAATATTTATTACAAAATTCTACTAGAATTCAATCATTTATTTATTTATTTATTTATTTTACAATCAATTAAATACAAAAATAAATAATTTATTGGATAATTGAATGTTTCTCAAAATTGAATTCTTATAAAGAATTTTATCAATAAATTTTTAAATCATTAAATTCTTTTGACGAATTTTAATTAAATTTTTAAGAATTTTTTTTTAATTATATTTTTTCGAGGAATTCGATTAGGATAGAATTAAAAATTTATTGTTTTCAACTAAAATTCTTCTATAAATCTATTATTTTTAATAAATAATGAGACATACATATTAAAAAATTTAACTAATTTCAGAAGAATTTTAAATTATTACAATTTTTCAAAAATCTAAGTTCTTTAAAATTTCTAATTAAATTCATTTAAAATTGAAGTTTTATAAAATTTTACATTAATACCTTTTGAAATTTATCTATTTATAAATGAAGTTTTCAAATCAAAATTATTTTTAGAAATAGAAAAAATTGAAGGTTTCTTGGTAATTTTATAGTTTATGAGGCAAATAAAAAAAAACAAAAATTCAGAATTTTCTTATGAATTCTAAAAATTTAATCTTTTCCAGTACTTTTAATAAAAATCTCTTATTTACCTGACCAATTCTACTTTCCCTGACTTTTTCCTGAATTCCCTGACCTGTGGCAACTCAGTACTTACAAAAATTATTATAAACAATTTCTGATAGAAACTGACTTATACTACTGATTTCAAAAATTTATTTTATATATTCGTTTGTAATTAGTATTGTAAAAAATTGCAATTTATGTCTGACCAAAATTAGTTTTTACTACTGAAATAAAAAATTGTAAACCCTGTCTGACTGAAACTAACCTTTGCTACTAATGCTTAAAAAGAATCCAATAAAATACATTAATAACAATAATACAAACAAATTCAACTGACGTCTGACCAAAACATTTTTTTTCTACTGACACAGAAAATTATAAACGTCTGACCGAAACTAACTTGCACTACTGGTTTTAAATATTTATTTCATAATAATTTGATTGGTTTGTAATGTCTAAACGAAACTATAAGCTTTGCTACTGAATTTTGAAATGAAAACAATTGCAATTAATATCTGGCCAAAACTAGTTTTTACTACTAAACAAAAAATTATAAACAATGTTTGACCGAAGCTAACCTTTGCTACTGATACTAAAAAAGAATTTATTAAAATTCAGTAATATCACTAATATAAAAAAATTTAATTTGCGTCTGGTTTTTAAACAAATTCACCGAAATGCATGATCTAGAAAAATTATGTTATTATTATTAATGTCCAAAAAACTTCATGAATTTTTATTAATGTAGAAATAATTCTAATTTAAAGAAATCATTGCAAATTAAAATTTTTTGTTTGACATATTTTAATTAAAAATTAACATAATCCTTTTTTTTTGCTTATTTTTTGAAAAATTTCAATAAATTTCAATGTTTTACAGTATAAAATGTTTAGTTGGTATATTTTAGAAAATAAATGATTTTTTGCAGTTATAAAAATTGACAATAAATTTGTTGAACGAGATTTAAAATAACTTTTTAATGGCAAAAAACGTTTAGCCAATATTTGAAAACAAATTCCACTCGACCCGGCAAAAATTTATAAAATACTCAACCACGTCAATTATCAAAATCAATTTAACAAAAATAAAAAAAATAAATAAATAAAACTCGTCATCTTCTCATCAAAATAAATTTGTCCTCCAACGTCCCATTCCAGAAAGAGAGGCAATACACTTCCACATTGCTAAAAAGTAATTCAAGTCAAGTGTTTGTGAAAATCTTGAATTAAACCTTGACTACCCCTTATATAGTTGCACAAAAAGCGTGGATTGGAGGGGATTGATCAACGTGGGGTGACTTTTTAAAAGGGTGGTGGGGAAATAATTCTTTTCGGTAGCGTGGTTGCATAGTGGGAGTGGCCAGAATTGTAGAAGGGAGGAGGAGGGGGGTGATCTAGCGCGGTAAGAGGTGCAGAATCGCTGTAGTGGGATAGAGAGGGAGGGAGAGAGAGAGAGAGAGAGAAGCCGCGAAAGCGTGAGAGGGTAGTGTGTGCTACAGTCGCACCGCGACACCCTTACCGAGTGAGACCGCGCGCGCTTTAGGTGCTTTTAGACACCAGAATTTCGCGAACAGTGCTATGCTTTTAAGGCAACTTCAACTGTCGCTCTGAAAAAAAAAAAAAAAATTTCCAAAGAGAGAAGCTTTTCTTTCATACACACACACACACACACCAACATCATTTTGTCTGGGATATCGTTAATCGGGTAAGTGGTTTTTCAAAAAATAAAAAAAAAGTGTCACGTGAAAGTTATATGACTTTTTCTCTGCTCCTTTTGCTTCTTAACCCGTTTTTTTTTCTCGTTTTTCGTTTCTTTAAAAAATTTGCAAATCCCCCCCCCCTTTGATCCTTTTTTCTCTTCATTTGTTCCTTCTAAAAATTGACATTCCCCCCCCCCCTTTTGCCCTTTTTTCTCTCTTTCGATTCTTCCAAAAATTTGCAAATTTTTTCCCCCTTTGCCCATTTTTTCCCCTTCTTTCGATTCTTCCAAAAATTTGCAATTTTTTCCCCCCTTTTTCCCTTTATTCGTTTCTTCAAAAAATTTGCAAATATGTTTCCCCCTGTGTCGCTTTTATATCTTCTTTCCATTCCTCCAAAAAATTTTACAACTCTTTCCCTTTTACTTCATTTTTTCAAAAATATTAATTTTTTAAAAAAATTTTTTCAAAATTTATTTTTGCAATCTTTAAGAAAAAACCAAAAGGAAGGGGAGGGGGAGAGTGATATTTTAAAACTTTTTTCTAACTTTTTAAAATTTTTCGTCAAATTATTATTAAAGAAAAACAACAAAACGAAGGGGAGATATAATATCAAATCTTTCAAAAATGTTGTGTTAAATTTTAAAAAAAATGACCCCTCTTTAAAAAAAAATGCGGTGATATTTTAAAAATTCTTTCTAACTAAGATTTACAAATTTTTCTTTGATTTTCAAAGGAAAAAGACAAAAGAAGGGGGGGGGGGGTATAATTTCAAAATCTATTTAAATTTGTGTATTAAATTTTTTTAAAATAAAACAAAAAAGTGCCGGAGATGAAATTTCAAATCTTCTTTCTAAATTTTTCAAAACTTTTTATTTAATTCTTAAAGGAAAAAACCAAAAAAAGGAGGGGGGGTATAGTTTCGAATGTTTCAAAATTTGTTTTTAAAGTTTTTGAAGAAAAATACAAAAAGGAATAGGAGAATAAATTACAAATCTTATTTATGATTTTTTTTTAAATTTTCTTTTTAAATTCTCTAAGAAAAATAAAAAGGAGTGAAATTTCGAAATCTTCTTACGAATGTTTTGTAAAGTTCTCTAAGAAGAAAACGGTGTAAAAAAAATTAGAAATCTTGTTTTAAACTTTTAAAAATTTTCTTTTTCAATTTTTGAAGAAATAAAAATTTACAAAAAGTGATGAAGAATTGAATCTTAAATCTTCTTTCTAATTTTTTCGAATAAATTATATTCTTCGATTTTAGAAGAGAAAAAAGAGGGTAGGGGATTATAATTTTAAATCCCCTTCCTAATTTTTCAAATTTTCCTATGTTAAATTCTTTGAGAAGAAATAATTAAGAAGAAATAGAAGAAGATGTAAAATATAATTTTGAAAATCTGCTAATTAGTTTCCATCTTTCGTTAAATTTTTTTTAAGAAAAATAAAAAAGGATGGGGATAAAGTGTAAAATCCTTTTTCTAAGTTTTTCAAAAATTTTTGTTTTCGATTCTTGAAGGAAAGAACCAAAAGGGGTGGGAGATAAAATATTAAATTCTCTTTCTAATAGTTTCTAATTTTTCATTAAATTTTTTTAAAGAAAAACAAAATGGAGTGAGGAATAAAATTTATAATCCCTTTTCTAATTTCTTTCAAATTTTTTTCGTTAAATTCTTTGAGAAAAAGACAAAACCGAATGATGGAAAAAATTCTAAGTCCTATTTCTAATTTTTTAAATAATTTTTATTTTAAATTCTTGAAGAAAAAACAAAAAAAAACACTGGGGGATAAAATTTTAATATTTTCCAATTTTCCGATAATATTCTTTGAGAAAAAAGTCTTCTCTTTAATTCTTTATAGTTTTTTCATTAACATCTTTGAAAAATAAAACAATAAGCAAAAATTTCAAGTTTTCTCTCGAATTCTTTTTCCAAGTTTTCGTAAAATTCTTTAAGAAAGTAAATAAAAAAGTGGTCTTGAATCCTGTTTCTAATTTCATCCAAATTTTTCGTTTTAAATTATTAAAGAAAAAAATCAAAAAGCAGTGAGGGATCAATTTCAAATCTTTTCTCAATTTTTTTTTCAAATTTTTAAAGAAAAAAAGAAAGCAGTGGAGGATAAAACTTTATCTTTCTCTAACTTTGTCTTCTCTTTTATTTTTTCAATTTTTTCTTTAAAATCTTAGATGCACTTGGAGGATAAAATTTTAAGTCTTCTTTCTATTTTTCAAATTTTTCGTATTTTGAAAAAAGAAAAAAACAGTTTCTTTTTTGAGAAAAACAGCAAAAAATATTGGGAGTAAAAATTTAAATCCTTATTCTAATTCTTTTAAGTTTCTCTTTTTAATAAAAAAAAAAATAAATAATTTCTCTACACTCACAAAAAAATTTTTTTTTAAATAAGTAGTCAACCAAAAAAATATGTTTGTATTAAACATATTTTATAATTAAATTAAACGTAATTTTTATTGAATCGAACTTATTAAGTTTGATTGTTTTTTTCGTTTTTTTATTGCTTTGAATTAAGTTCAATTCAAAAATAATTTTTGGTTGACAATATATGAAGAACAATTATTTTTGATTCAAATATATTGTTTTCTCAGTGTAAGATAAAATAATTACCATACCAAGAAAAGAAGTGTGGGATAAATATAAAATTTCAAATCCTCTAATATTTTTTTTTAAATTTTGCGCGAACTTCTTTAGGGGAGAAAAAAAAGAAAAAAAAATGGGTGGGGGATATTTTTTCACCGTTTTTTCTTGCGGATGTTGAAATTGAATGGGGGATAAAGGGGGGATGGGCGAGGGGAAGTAACACTATATAACCCCTTTTCCTGGACCAGTGCCAGTGACTCTGGCTAATGGCGCAGAGGAACCTGTTGATGATCGTCACCACTGTGAATGTACTTCTTTGTTCAGAAAGTTGTAAGAAAAGTTGGTGATAAAAGAAGAAATGTGAGATTGTCTATGAAATGAAATGATTTGGAAGTATATTCTTCATGTGTTTTTTCGGTGTTTGTTTCTATGTCCACATAAGCAATTGTCAACGAATCTTTTCTTTGATAATGATGACGACGATGTTCTGAGGGCCGAAGGGAATTTTTTTTCAAAGTTGAATTACTTGAGTGGTTTCTTTCTTTCTTGTTTGTCTCTTTCTTGTTTGGTTTCTTTTTTGTTTGCTTCATTTTACTTGTTTCTTCTTTCTTTATTTCTTTTTTGGTGGTTTCTTCCTTGTTTGTCTCTCTCTTCTTTGTTTCTTTTTTGTTTGTTTCTTCTTTGTTCCTTTCTTTTTTGATGGTTTCTTTTTAGTTTCTTTCTTCTTTATTAGTTTCTTTCTTGTTTGTTTCTTTTTTGTTTGTTTCTTCTTTGTTCCTTTCTTTTTTGTTGGTTTCTTTTTAGTTTGTTTCTTCCTCGTTAGTTTCTTTTTTGTTTTTTTCTTTTTTGTTCCTTTCTTTTTTGTTGGTTTCTTTTTAGTTTGTTTCTTCCTTGTTAGTTTCCTTCTATTTTGTTTCTTTCTTCTTTGCTCCTTTCTTTTTTGTTGGTTTCTTTTTAGTTTGTTTCTTCTTTATTTGTTTCTATTTTGTTTCTTTCTTTCTTGTTTGTTTCTTTTTTGTTTCTTTCTTTTTTGCTTGTTTCTTCTTTATTTCTTTCTATTTTGTTTCTTTTTTGTTTGTCTCTTTTTTCTTTTTTGCTTGTCTCTTTACTCTTTGCCCTGTTTACATATCGCATTTTTCGAACATCTTCCTTTCCTATATCGTAGGCAAACAAACAAATGAAAAAAAAAACTGGAGGAAAAAGTGCTTCATTCCCATGTTGTTTGAGGAATTTTAGTGCCCCTGAGATATGTATAAAGTGACACCGAAAAGGCATTTTGCGTGTTTGTTTGGTCAAGGGGAACGCAAATGTCAGTTTATGGGATTGTAAAGTCACGCGGAACAATGCCTATGAAGTTTTACGATTCCCTAACATCATGATGAAAAGGAGATGAATGTATCATGATATTGCTTTTAGTGCATCGCATGCTTCCCTCATTTTTCATATTATATGAATTTTATTAATATACGCTTTATGTAAATAGCTCCCCCTTCTAGAATTTCAAACGCATATAAAAAAAATTCCTCCTTCCTTTTCCTTTTATAATTACTTTTTCTTGGGAATATTTATATAAAAACTTGAATTAATAATTAAATATTAATAAACAATATAAACAAATGAAATACTATAATTATTTTAATTCTGATAAATTAAAATCATAATTAAACTTTTAATAAATAAATAATAATAATTTTTTTTAATTAATTAAACTTTTACAATTTCAAAATAAAATATTTTCAATATTTGTTTTTATTAAAAACATCAGTTTTTTTATTAAAAAAAAATTTTTTATATATTTTCAATGTGTTTGGAAGATAGGTCCATTTATTCTAATAATTTTTAGTTTATCGGTTTGAATAATAAAATAATAACGGTAGAATTAATAAAGAATTATTTTCTATCAATATTTAATCGTTTTTTGAAAAAATGGTTTTTTTAAGAATATCAAATTTCACAATTAATTAAAACTCACTGATATTATTTCTAATTTATTTACAGTGAGATAAATTAATTTTATTAACATCATTTCTATATCTTGTTTTTTAATAATTAATATTAAAATTTGATAATAATAAATTATCTATAAACTCGATTTAATTGGAGAATTTAACATTTACAGAAATCGATAATTATTAATTCATACTTAATTAAAATTCAATGATTTTTAATTTTATTTTTTTAAAATAATTTTTTACTTTAAATAACAATTCTAATTTTAAAAATAATTAAATTCTTATTTAATGGTCTAATTGTTAAAACATAATAAGAAAATTAATTAAACAAACTTGCTTACAATTTAAAATTTTAATTTCATTTGTAAATTGCATTTAACATTTCAAACCATCAAAATAGTTACTTATAAATTATTGTAGAGTTTTATTCAAATTTTTGAAAGTAATTAAATTGTTTCAAACAGTTTG